TTTACAAATGATATCTACTATGGAGATAATAGGTTTGTTCGCGTCGCATACTCCAATGTACTCCAGAGAGCACTTGGATCACAAGTAAGATGGCGGTTAGAGCAGATGAGTTCATGTGCACCAACGACATGTTTAGTGACACGAACGGACTTGAGGCACTTCTCCTTCTTTTTTTGCTTCCAACCAATCGCACATTACAGTATTATGACAACCTCTTGATGCTTTTACTGATTTCAATGGGTGCGTTCCGTTTCACGCATTGAACGCATAGATCACACTCAATGCGCTGCGCATTGATATCGTTCCGTTTCGTTAATGCGCTTAATGCGCGCTTAGAAACGGAATGATTCATCATGCGTTTGATGCAAATAAAAATGGATGCTCAGAAAACCATAAATAATCAGAAATTAGCTAACGTATTATTATTAATATACAATTATTTTAATAACGAAATTATCAGCAGTAGTGAATCTAGTGATAGAAAACGAAGATGAAGATATAATTTTAAATTTAGAATTAGAAATACTATATGTAATATTATTTGTTAATGAAACGCGTGGAGAGATATTTGTGGAAAAACTGACAAATTATGTAGAGCGAGTTATTCCTGATTATTCAAGAATAGTATTTAAACAACATTTTCGGTGAGTAATAATTATATATAATTATATATTTTTATAGAGAGACAACACACCATAGGAAGACTTTTATTTTTCGCGGGCATATCAACTTACACATCAAACGCTTCATGTTTGAGCTGTGGTAGCTGATGCAGAGCTGATGCGCGAGAAGTGGTGGAGATTTAGGGAATTCTGTGCGCTATCGATGCGCGCATTGATTGAAACGGAAAGATTCTCTATGTTATCTATGCGCATTATTCGTAAAACGGAACGCACCCAATATTATAATTAATAATATTATAATTGATAATATTAATGATGAATTTGTCGAACAAAATTTATTACCCATGGCTATTAATAATTTTGAAAATGAAAACGATGACGAAATAGAAAGTGAGTATTAAGAAAATATAGCGTTCTAACCTTGTGTTAATATAATTTCTAAATATTGGTTTTATTTTAAATTCGCCTTTTTTTAGTTTGTGCTTTTATTGAATTTTATATAATTTATATTTGTAGATATTTCTGTTAACGCAATTATTGAAATGGCAGAAGGTTTCGACGAATATCTAGAACATGCATAACCGACTATGTTGAACATACAGTGCCAATATATATATACAGATAGAGAATTTGTTATGCATTTTCGTTTAAAGAGTTTATCCATCAATTCATATTTTATATATTACGCATGTGCGCACATTTGCCCCAACTGCACCACTATCGAAGGTGAGGTACATGAAGCATGCTCCTTATTGCTTCTTAGAGTATGTTCTATCGCGACGCAAACACCTAGTCGCCATATTAATTTCGATGAACGTATTGGAGCGTTTCGGTGTGAGTAGGAGTATGTAGTGTCCCTAGAATACAGAGTCTGGACAATCCGAATCAAAGTCCCTCAAAATGGCGTCATTGTATGATGTGAGTGTGTATAGAATGAAAGAGAGTTTCTTATAGAAGAATTGAAGATGCATAAAGAGAAAAAGTAAGTAATAAATAATATAAATAATAACATATAATATATAATGTATAACATATCAAATATTATAACATATAATTATTAATACATATAATACATATAAATTATTTTATCTCTAACCTCTAAATAATGTTAATAAAATATACATTTAATTTTAATGATAGGCTAAACCATGCCTTATTGTTGTGTCACCAAGTGTTCCAATTCCTCGAAAAAACATTATTCCATCCATCGCTTGCTGACAAATGTAGATAGAAGACAACAGTGGATTAACAATATTGGCCGATCTGATTTAGATATGATATGATATGATATGATATGATCAAATTTTACATTTATAATAAATAAAATATATCTCGCATATAATTGAATACTTTATACAATATACACGTACAATACATCCACGCGTACATTCGCACAATGCAACCGCGCGGATATTGATAATACGATCCTCGTTCAGTAACACGCGTCGCTTTGCGCAACCACCATACACACATTGTAAATCACACCCTCACCACACACACTGTAACATACACAATAAACATTTATTCTTATTTTTTTTCTACAACTACACGCTCTCGCTTTTATTATACCTGTCGAACGAATCCTGATCCTGACTCTGGCTATCCGACGACGATTCCGCGGGATTCGCCCGTGACAAGTTGACTTTTAAGTCAACTTATTAGCTGACTGACAGTCGACTATAGTCGAGTCATTTGTCGGTTGTTAGTCGACTTTAAGTTGACATTTACTCTGACTTTGAAATGGATTTTAGAGTTTTTTTGTCGACTGACAATCAACTAACAGTCGATTTGTTGCTGTTTAGGTACAAACATATATTCGGCATATAAACTGCCAAATCAAGTAACGCGATATAAAATATGAGAAAAAATATGCTGGATGTAATTTAAATTAATCTTGAAAATAGCATATAAAGCACCTCAATGATATATTCTGGACCAATTTAGGATGTATTGTAGATGTTTCAAGAGTTATAACATTTCCTATGGATATCCTGCAAACATCTTTAGAACTTTGAAATAGAATCTCCTGAGGATATATCTAGGCTTTATGTGAGATGCTTATTTATTATTCCTCAGGACATCCTCAGAATATACGAGGATTACAAACAGATATCCTCAGGATATCTCTTATATTCATGCTCGACATCCTTAAAAGATCCAAAAGACGTCCGTGTATTGTTTGGGTAGCATTACCTGATACGCACCACGAGGAGGTTGCTGGTCGGATTTGGCGCATCATGTGTGTGTAGGAGGATGGGAATGTGGAAATGTCCACATTTCCATCCTCCTACACACACATGTCCACATTTAAAAATGTGTATTGCCGCCTTGTCTTTGGATAATCTCTTGCAGACGCTCATGCATATTGTTGCTCTAATTATTGCCTGAGGAATTTCATTCCATATTTAATTTAGCGCTGTGATCCCACATTGCCGTCCTCCAACACACACACACACGCGCGCGCGCGCGCGCACACACACACACACACACACACACACACACGTGCCAAATCCGATCAGTAACCTCTTTGTGGTGCGCATCAGGTAATGCTAATGTTGACAGTAAATGAACAAAAATGTGTAGGTAAATTTGATATGTCGTAACTTCGCGAAAAAATCATACAAACTTCATTGTTTTTTAATTCACACATAAAAATCCATATTTTACGATGATTATCATGAAATTTGCGAACAAAATTTATTTCACCCCATGGAATGCGTTAAATGGTGCAATTTTTTCGGAGACAAAACACGTCCTTACTTTTAAGGAGATGACGAGAGAGAGGAAGGATGGAAATTTTAAATCTGACAAATGATTTTTAAAATAGAAGCTTTAAGCTTGAGAATGAAAAAAAGATTTTTCAAATACGACCATTTTTTATGGAGTTATACATAAAAGTTTTAAACTTTGAAGTTATGCGTTATAAATTTGATATGAAATTACTTATCCGATAATTTTGTTGACGAGTTGAATGTAATTCCCGTATAAATAAAATCTTAAATTTTATGAATTGAATTATTTGAATTTTATTAATTATTTGTTATTTATTTAATAATGTTATTAAAAAGACATTTATCAAAAAAATATCATGGAATAACATTAAAATATATTATTACTTTTCATAATACTTAAAAATTATTAATATGCTGTTAATCATGAATAATAAATAGACGACTCGTCATCACAAGTTGTCATCAAATTATCAAATTTCTGGTGTGTGAGTAGCAAGTCTTGTTCATATCAATTTGCTATCCTTAGAATTAGAATTCACATAAATTCAATCCAATAAACACAATGCTATTCACAATCTTGTCCTTTTTTCAAAATTAGTTGTTTCAACAATTGTTGGCAACATGATAGGAAACTCACAAATAGCTAGCTATCTAATATAATTCTGAGATAATGATTCATATCTCGAAATTTTTATTATCATATATATACATATACATACATACAAAAATATAACTTCAAATTTTAAAAAAATCATTAATATCATCTATAATTCATCATCTGTATCAAATGTATCTATAAATTAAATATCTTAATAGAGGATGTGAGAGAAAATGCAAGAGAAAACAAGAGAAATTGAATGATAATTTAATTATACCAACAATACGCAAATGTTTTACCTCAAGAATATGTGAACATAATTAAATATCATAATTAAAATACATTGTTCTATTTTGTACATTATTAAGTATATTGTTCATTATATTTTTTTATTTTATAATCCTTCATGAATTGTGTACACACAATATAATATGATCCTCGCGACAAGTAATCAAACATTTTACATCACATCTTAAGATATATCTGAGATACTTCCATAAATTTTTAAATATCTATCCTAGTTTATTTTAATTTTTATTTATAATATATGATTTAAAAAATTATAAATATATCATGTTATTTGCCATTTTAGGTGCAAGCCAAATTACTATTATTTTATTTGTAATATGTAAATATAATTTACCTTAAAATAAACTTACGTACATACATGTAACATATGGCACTTTTAATGAATGAACAATTAAAATAGAAAATAATAATATTAAAATAACTTCATAAAAAAAACGAAAATTAATGGAGGCAAAAATAAAAATAGCAAAAATTTTGTTATCTTTTCAAAGCTTTCAAATATTTTATATAACAAATTTTTTCAGTTAGATGTTCGCACTGATGCACTGAAAGACTGTATTTGTATACAAATTAATACTAGCATAAATAAAATAAGTAAAATAATTAATTCTCCGAATTATTATTATCGTTATTATTTGTTATTGAATAACAATGTATATAATAATTTATAATATTAATTATCTTATTATTTTAATTATACTATTAAATTTAATATAAATTTAAGTAAATTAATACGCGACAGTCTTTAATCACATCAGTGTGCACTAGTGCATTCAATCGAATTCGCTAATAATTTTACGATTACTCTATTTTTCGGTTACCCACCTGTTATGTCAATTTTATCTCGAGATTTCTCTAGAACTAGAAGATAATCAGGAGCCGTATGATTCAATACATCAACGTCAATCATAAAAATCGATCCAGGCGGCGTTTCTTCGATTCGATCTTCCTGTGCGGGCAAGAGCGGCAATAACGATTTGTACGTTTGCAATTCCATCGAAGGTGAGATTCTGCAGACATCCGCGTCACCCTCACTGACTACCTCTTCTTCCCTCAATCGCTCATTTAGTGGCGCAGAATTACTAATTACCGCAGTTTCATTTGCGATGTTGATATCAACAATATTTTGATGTGTCTCTTTTTCTTGGATCGATAAAACACGCTTTTCAGAATATGTGCTGATTGTTCTCTTATTGTCCATTACCTATAAATATCCAATAGAGATAGATTACAGATTAAAACATAAGTTGAATTGAATAAAGTAAATGTTATATGAAATGCAATTATGTAATTTAATTATTTTAAGATTATATTCCTTATTAATATAGAGTATTTTTAATTTCTATTTGTAATTTCTGTTTTGCTATTTTACAATTTCAATCTTATATGAATCATTTTGGCTCATATGAATTTATAATTCAATTATAGGATAAGTGAATTAAATATTAATCAAATATTATTATAGTATAGGATCTTATATATGTAGGACATTATATATATATGTGTGTGTGTGTGTGTGTGTCAGAAAATTTGGTGTATGTATTTATTTTAGGTATAGTAGATTTTTTGAGTTAGTTTTGATCCTTCAGACCAATAACACTTGAAAATTCTTTGAAAACAAAATAAATACTTCTATCATAATGTGAATCACTATGTCACTCAATCACTATGTCACTCAATCACTATGTCGTATTTATACGAATGTATTTATACATTACATTATTTATATATTATACGTTGGGCCTAATTTAAGAAAATACTATAGTAAACAATTACTAAATTCCTTTCTTTAATCTTTAGAAACAATTATTGATTCTTTTTAAGCTTCTCCCTCTTTTCCTCATCCTCTTCCACTCCGGCTCTCTCTCTTTCTCTTTTCTTTTTCTCTTTTTCTATCTCTTCCTCTTCTCCTTTCTTTTTTTTCCCTATTCTTTTCCCTCTCTCTTTTCGTCTCTCTGCTCTTTTCCCCTATCTTTCTACATCTCTTCTTTTTCTTTTCTTTCTCTCTCTTCTTTCTTTTTCTTTTTTCTTCTTTTTTTCTCTCTCTTTGTTTCCTATTTTTCGCCCTCTCTCTTTCCCTTTTCTCTCTTAAAACAAAATTTTTTTTAAATTTATTACAATATAAGAGTTGTACTTTAATAATAAAGTATAAATTATATACAATATATATTAAATTTTGTGGAAAAACATAGTTTTGTATTAACAATAAATATATATTATATGTTTTATGCTAAGGTGCGGTTTATATATATATATATATATATATATATATATATATATATATATGTATTCTTTAACTATATTATAAGTTATCTTTAGCTACGTTACAAGAATGGTTTTAACCGCAAAATACTAGCACATCTGTTGTAGCATGTGTTATTTAAAATGTACAGAAAATTAAATTAAAAAATGATTTAACTTTTAATTAAAATAAATAATTTTATACATTATATATACTGTGTGTGTGTGTGTGTGTGTGTGTGTGTGTGTTATATGTATACATATACACACACACACACAAATTATGTGAAAAGAAAAATTGACTTTGGCACCGTAATGTAAGGCGAAAAATGTGAGGAAAATGGTAAATATCTGTATTTAGGGGCGACCTTACTAATTTCTCAATGACCTCGATATATGTTCTAAGAAAAAAATATGGAATTGTTAATTGCAAATTACATATTTTTTCTTCGAAACAACAAACTGTATTTTCTTTACACCAATTGGTTCCTCTCAATATTTTGTACATAAAAATATTAAGATAAGATAATCGAAACATGACATATTTTACAAGATATTTTATGGTTTATGTAAAATTAAGAAATTATTTCAAGCCTCATAACTCGGAAAGTACTTCATAAAAAAATAATTTATTATAGTGTTTTGGAAAGCTTTCGAGGTAAGCTACAGGAATATGCAATGAAAAATAGGGAGTTCCATTTAAAAAAATGCACTTCCGGTCTGAATCGCCAATTTCCGGCCGGAACCAGGCCAATATATATATACAATACAGGGGGTTCGGAAATTCAACAGACAAATTTTCAAAGATCGTTGGAGGCACCAAAAGGATCATTTTTTGCAAATGGACCTAAAGTCGGAAACGTGTCGTTACACATTACGGCACATATTTGCCACTATTTATCATTCTCATAGTAATACGATAGCAGTTGTCGACATATTAGCAGGAAAAATTTAATAACTTCGTGATGACTGATTCAAAATGGATAATAATGTTTTGAAAGGTTTTGAGAAAGGCTACAAAAATATGTGATAAAAAATAGGGGGTTTCATTTAAAAAATTCAAGGTGATCTCGACCCTTGGCGACGCTACCCAAGGTCAAATTCATAAGGTAAGTAAATAGATCTTTTTACACCCTACAACTTTTGTCTGAAACCGTTTTTTATAAAATTTATATTTTTTGAGATATTTCGAGATCTGATCTTTGTCAAACACTCTGTGTGCCGTAGTGATATAACGACACGTTTCCGACCGATTTAGGTTCATTTGCAAAAAATGATCCTTTTGATGCTCCCGACAATCTTTAAAAATTCATGAATTTTCGAACATCCATTTTACATATTAATGCATCTTGATGCGTTAATTACTCGCAAATATGACAATAAAAATTGGCGACGGGGTCATTTGCAAGATCAAAATGAGAGTAGAGTTGTAGGGGGTGATTAGATTAATGGACAAACCATGATTGATCAATTTGTTTATGACTTACTTATTGTAGTGTAAGCCATACCGTTTTATGCATTTAGTGTGAAACGAAGTCTCTTATTGTAGGATTCTACATGAGTATACAAAAAAATATAAAACTGAATGTAATAATGTAAACAATATTATAGTGTAGGCTTATATTTACATTTTTGATAGATTCTAAATCAAGCGAGAATTCAACTTAAGATATTGCATCAAGATTGTTTATTAATGTTATTTATGTCATGGAATTTTTTATGTATTATTCCTGTACTTTTCGCTAAAAATATTTTCAGAATTTATTTTTACATTACGGTGCTAAAGTTATCGCAATCTTGTCAAATATATAATAAAATCGTCTATCATTAGAATCGTCTATCATTGTAAAATTGTCTATCATTGTAAATCATTGGTTTCCAATTGATCATGTTTTGTCACATGTCTTGATGTCGTTATATCATATGTTCGGCATTTCTAGAGAAAGATATATTAATTTTTGTTCTATCAATAATGCAGATTTTTATTTTATTTCATCCCAGGTAGCAAGTATACGTCATTTTGACATTTCAAATGGATCATTCACTGTCTATTCTTGACGTCATGAATTGACGTTTTTATGATGTAAAAGGGACGGTCTAATGTCACAGATTCTTGACGTCATGATATGTACCGCATTTTGTCATAAAGGCTGCGTTCCGTTTCACGCATGCGTAACGTATACTATAAATAAATGCGCGCATATGCGTGAAACGGAACGCAGCCAAAATGTATCATATTTTGACGTCTTTTTCTTAGCATAATAATATATTTAATAGTGTTGCCGAATAAAGCACTCTCCAAAAATAAATCAGTGTATTATCACTGAAAAACAGTAAATAGTCACTGATTACAGCAGTTATAAGTACAGCACTGTAAATCAGTATTTTATTGAAAAAATCAGTTAATAATTTTGACTATTTCAATCAGTAATTTCTTAGTAATATTTCTTTCGTTATTGCCACTAATATTAAACTACAATTCATCTCTCTATCTATTTCATAAATATAATATAAATATAATAAATATAAAAATAATATAAAAATAAATATATATATACAGGGTGTTTCATTTTAATCCGACCACCTAAATTTCTCGGAACCTAAGGAAGATAGAGAAAAATGTTTTAGACAAAAGTTGTATGGTTTCAAGGGGGACATAAGATGGTGTCATTAGTTTGATCTTGAAGAGCCACCTGAAGGACACGCGAAGGTCAGCTCCAACTTTTTAAATGGGACACCCTATATGCTTTTGCATATTCTTGTAGCTCATCTCAAGAGCTTTCCACAAAAAAAATATGTAATTTGCAATTAACAATTACATATTTTTTTTCGAAACAACTATGAGTTTTCTTTACACCAATTGATTCTTCTCATTATTTTGTACATAAAAGTATTAAGGTAAAATAATCGAAAAATGAATATTTTACAAGATATTTTACGGTTTATGTAAAATTAAAAAATGATTTCAAGCCTCATAACTTGGAAAGTACTTAATGAAAACTAACTTAATTATAGTGTTTTGGAAAGCTCTTGAGATGAACTACAAGAATATGCAAAAGCATATAGGGTGTTCCATTTAAAAAGTTGGAACTGACCTTCGCGTGTCCTTCAGGTGGCTCTTCAAAATCAAACTAATGACACCATCTTATATCCCCCTTGAAACCATACAACTTTTGTCTAAAACATTTTTCTCTATCTTGCTTAGGTTCCGAGAAATTTAGGTGGTCGGATTAAAATGAAACACCCTGTATATATAAATATATATATAAAATTAAAAATTTTATTTTATTTATATTATATGTATTTATATTGAACTTGTTATTTTAAATAGATAATGAACGAATAATTTTTATTAAGTAACCAGACATTTATTTATCCGATTTATAAAATCGATTTAATATCTGAAGCCTCTCTATTGAGATTGTATCAGAAATTAAATCGAAGTAATATTTCTAATTTTATTTGTCACTCTTTGCAAACTTTATATAATTCTTATGACTAAAACTAAATACGAGAGAGATAGTGATCATAGCGGTAAACGAACGAATTAGCGATTACTGGTTTTACAGTGAAATTTATTGGTTTTACAGTGAATTTTAACAATTGTTAAAGTCTGATCGCGAAAGTCATGTTATATAAAAAATTTTAAAAGATTTTTTTATGGGATTGATGTACTAACTAATGACATTAATAAAATAATCGTCACTTCATGACTGAAAAATGACGTCAAAATAATGTTATATCAAGACATTAATATAAAGTCATGTAACAAATCAGACATTTTGACGACATATGACCAAAAATGACCAGTTTGGAACGTCAAAATGACGTGTGTTTGCTACCTGGGACATATATGATATTTTTTACCACATATTCTTTTAGAAACTTTCTTAACAAATACCAAATAACAGTTATATAATTATACTATATACTGTTATTTGGTATTTGCTGAGACTGCTTATATTCAGCTTTTTAAATAATAATGAAACAAATATTAAAAACAAATATTATGTAACTAATATAGATATTTAATATAGATAAGAATTTAGAGATACTATATAAAAAAGTAAAAAAAGCGAGAGAGAAAAATAAGAAATAGATTTTAAAAAGTTTTCAAAAAAATAGTAAACTGATTCTTTTATTTACTTATTTTAATTAATTATATAGTCTTAAGGGGGTATTCTCTAGTGTAAAAATTCGAAAAAATCAATTTTTTTTGCACTTTCTTAAACAATACAGCTTTGAAAATATGGCTGCAAAAGCATTTACCTGAGTTCATAAAATTAATGAATTTGGAGCGATTTAAATGAGGCGGCGCATGATGTGTCATGGCATACAGTGCATTGCACGTAATAACATTGTTACGACAGATCAATTTTTGACAAAGATCTTTTCTTTTTTCTAGCAAAGTTTAGTTTGAGACAAGACATTTAACGGTTTATTTTGAACCATTATAATTACAAACGAACATTTATTCTATTCATACCCTGAGAAAAATATCCGGTACCGATCACTTTAATTGGAAAAAAAAGAAACCGATCAGATATCCAATCAGAAAATATCGATCGGATATCTGATCAGAAAATTCAAAATTCGGAACTTTCCGATCAGATATCCGATTAAAGTGATCGGTATAATATCCGTTCGTTACCTTTTTATCGGATATTTTTCTCAGTGTATAATTTTAATTTATAATGAATTTAATATAGCTTCGACCGAGTGAAGCACACGTATATTTGTAGAGCAAATATTTAATTTGAAAATTACATATTCTAAAAATTATATCTATAAAAGTGACTATTGGAATACAAGCTGAGATATATGTGAATTGAAAAAATAGAATTTGTCGTTCAAAACATAGCAAAAGCTGCAAAAAAGTCAAGATTACTGAAGATAAGAGAAATCGACTATATTCGAATTATTTGAACCAGAAGTAGGCCTTTTGTATGGCCCTGGGCTCTAACAGATTAGTAATAAATATAATTATATTCATTTAAATTGTATAAAAAAATTTAAATGTTTTTTTCTCAAAATTCACCATATTTTTTAAAATAGTGACTACGATATCTCAAGATTTGTTAATCCGATCGAGTTCAACTTATGCACCTTTAGCACATATGTTGCTATCATCTGAATCAAAATTAAATCAAAATTCCTATTAAATTTATTTTCTGTTTTTTTAACCGCGAATAGAAAAAAAAATAGAGATTTATTTTCTATTTTTTTAACCGCGAATAGAAAAAAAAATAGAGAAAAGGGATAGTTAATTTTCGAAATGTTGCCATTTTGTTAATTTTCAATTTTTTTCTCTAATTCGATCGAATGATAGAGAATCAGATCAGAACTCATAAAAATTAAGAAACTTGTTTTTTGTTTCAGATGAATTGAAATACCAGAATCATGATTACTATAAATTAAGTTTTTTAAGTCATTATTCGGGGGTTTGTTCCTTGAACAATTTTATTTATTTTATTTATATTTAAAAAATTTTTAAATATATTTAAAAGTATCTAACTATACATATGTACCAAAAAATGCTAGCAATAAAAAGTTTTATAATTTTTTTGTAAAAAGTTACTAAAAAATGATTTTAAAAATGGATTTTACACTACAATAGGTACCTCCTTAAGTTTACAATAAAAAACAAATAAATTTTTCTCTCTTTCTTTTTCTTAAAAGAAAAATAAAATATGTCAAAATGAATTTCTTTCTATCTTATATTTGATATTTAATTAAATATATAGTTAAATAGAAAAATTGATATACCTGACGTAACATGCTCGATCTTTGACTTCTTGACTGGGGAAAATCGCTAAACCGCTGAGCGTTAAGCCTCTGCGAACCAGCGAAAGATCCGCGATCATAGATTACACTGATTACGCTCGATTTGACATCGCTGTGCGGAAAAAGTAGTTGCCAGACGAAATTCTTGAGTGCGATGCGAAAATCCTTGAGATGATAAGCGTAGAGAAGTGGATTGCCGACCGAGTTGATGTGTGTGAGAATGATGCAGAAATTCATCAGGAGATCGTTCACTTCGCACTGGGGGCAAAAGGCCATTACGCAGTTTATCGTGTACAGCGGAAACCAGCAGACGATGAAGAAAAGAACAATACGCGAGAGATTTTGTGTAGCCTTAATTTCCCGTTTGCGTGCTGCGCCAAGTACACGCAGCATTGTCCCTGTCGTTTGATGATTACTGCCGAGACGCAGACCGCCAAGACGACGAACGCCACCGCTATTTCCGGAATCAACTGTGACAACTTGCTGTAGCTACAACCATTGTACCCATTACACTTCTTAGCTAGTTACTGTATCGCTGTTTGTTGACATTCAGTTTCTTTTGTACAACTGACCTGTTTTACGATCACCTGATATATATGGGCGTAGAACGCAGCAATCAGCAAGGCGGGGAATATTATTGTGGCAAAGTATAGAAACACGAGGTAGTTATAATCCATAACTTTCGTGAAAATACATCTATGATCACTCGTTTGACCAGCGTTCCATCCAAATAACGGCAGAAACCCCACTAAAGTGCCCGCTATCCAGCACACGCCTATTATACCTGAAAACGAGCGTTCCTTTTTTAATCATTTATTAATTGATTTATTTCCTCAATTGCTAATAATTAGTGTATTTCATCAATGAACCGAGATATGTATCATTTTTACGTCATCATTATCATCATCATCATCACCATCGTCATTGTCATCGTCACGTCGTCATTGTCATCATCACGTTGTTACATCGATTATGTAGTTGATTTTGCGTTTCACACAATTGATTCGAATAATGATATTTGTTCACACGCATCATCCGTTTTTTATTTAAAAGAAATTAGTTTAGATTAGATTAGAATTTTTTCGAAGTTGGGGAGCACGGAGAGAAGCAGAGCTTTTTCCTCGCCTATAGTTTACAATAAAATAGAGTAATAAAATTTCCTTTAAATTCAAAAACCTGTAGCCATGTCAAAAGTTGTTTAAGAAGTAAATGAAATTTGTTGACAATAGTGTAACAGTCAATATGAAAATAAAAGAAACACACAATAAAAATGGCATAGACATAGTAAGTATAGACCGAGCATCCATTGTATAAGCGTTCCTCCTTATTTCCTCGTCTCTCCATGATGAACCGGCGCGAGAAGATGTGGAGAAGTGCTCCCCACTTCTCCGGCATTGAAAAGAGAAAGAAACTCATCTTACATCTTTTGTCTTTCTTTTCGTATGCTTAACGCTTATACAATGTATGCTCGGTCTATACTTACTATGTCTATGAAAAATGGTAATAGAGAGTGTCCTCTGAAATGCACTGAAAATACTACTACTAAAATCAACGTATTTCAGTTGTTCCGAAATTGTCAATAGACTAGGACTATATGAAAATCAGATCGCATTTGCAGTTATCATATAGAATTGTAGATAGTAATAATAAGAATAAAATTATATAGCTTGTTTTATATTTGTATTATAATAACGTTTCAGATTTGCAACAAAGCATATTTATATTTATGATTAAACATTGACTCGAATAATGATAATTAAAAATTAAATCAAAATTAACAATTATTGATAGTTAGAGCAAGGAAACAACCCATACCTAGCAAACACAGAATATTGCAGCAACATTGCTGCAATGTTGTAATATTGCCGCAATATTGCTGCAATATTCTGTGTTTGCTGGGATACTGTTATGAATTTGTAAAAAGCACAGAATTTGATTTATTAAGACTTACTATATTGGCACATTACAATAATTGAAAAAATTATTTGGAAAAATATGCTTACCAGATCTTTACGAAATGCAACTTGGCGTTATCTGCACGTCGATTGACAAATAATTTTGTAATTTAATCCGTCACCGTATAACATTCTCTAACGCATATTATTAATGTTACGTTGAAGATGGATTAAAAAATGAAACATATTCGCTTTTATTGCATATAATGTAATAATATTTATTTTAAAATACACAAATAATTAGAAAGAAGAAAGTGTTATTTTCTCCTTGCGCTCCAACTACGCTGTGGTTCTAATTTGCTAATTTTGATTTAATTTTTAATTATCATATTTATGATATTTCATAATAAACATAATAATTATATACATATGGCCAACATATTGTATGTCATATGTTTACTTATGTAAGATGTATATGGTACAAAAATAAATTTTCATTTATATTGTAAGTATTGTTCTTTATTATATGCTTTATTTTTAGAATAAAACGTTATACTCTATTTTTAAGCTATACGTATTCTTGTGCTGACAAATATTCTATTATTTCAATTTTCTTTGTTATGTCCTCAATTTTTTTTCTTTTCTTTTACATCTTTTCTATTATTTTCTATCATTTGTGTGTCAAAAATATTTGGGTTCAAAAATACTTCGTACATATTATTTATATTTCCATCTATTATAGTGCATTTTTTATTAATAATATGTTCATATGTCATTTATAAAGTATTTTCTGTTCCATAGAAAAGTATTTTTATTTTTAACTCAATATTTTGTTCACGTTTTTTTGTTTTATGAAATGACTAATTATCATATATGTTACTACTCGGGAGTGAACCCTCGGAGCAGAATTAACCGGAAATCAGCAATTTTCTAAGACTTTTTATTTTCTTTCTATTTTCAGGTCTAAAAGATAGTAATTAATTAAAAAGAATTAGTAATTATTATTCTCTTGCAGCACGCTGAAAACAATTTCGGAATACAAAAATAGTACTTAATAGTCAATATTTTTAGCATTCCGGGAAACATTCAAAAAAGAATAACACAATCAATTGAATATAATTTAAAAAATTGAATAATTAAATATTTACGTAAATAGTAATGTAAATTTTAGAACATCATATTTCAGAAACTAGAATTCGCAACGTAATTCAAAGTATACATGAATCTATCCACTATAATATGTGAAAATTAAAGAAATCGATGAGATATATTCTTTTTGTAAAGTACCATTCCAAAATACGTTGCAAATGTCTCGTTGCCAATTGCTAAATCATTGTGATCTAATTAGCATCGAATTAGCTTGACAACTGGCAACGGGATATTTGCAACCTATTTTGGAGTGATTCTGATTTTTTTCCATCAACTTAATTTTTCACATAATCTCAACAAAAGATTCAGAAATATTAAACAAATTGTTTGGGCAGGTAAATTATTAATTTATTTGAAGCGAAAAGTCGGAATTTAATTTTTATATAAATTAAATCTCAAGTTTCATAAATTAAATATAATTTATTTTACATTATTTGTTTAATTATGTTTGTATTAGTGCCAATTGTTAGTGCTATGAATATAATTACAATCTTAGATAACACACGTCTCTGTAAAATATGTCTAAAAAATGATTTAAGGACTTTTTATCATTCTTTAGACACACATCTCTTAAAAATATCTTTTAGCTTTTTTGTTCTATTTAGGATGCAACATTACAATATATTATAATAAATAAATGTTATACGTATTACATGTTTCATTTATGTATGTGAAATTACTAACTAACTGGTTTAATACCTAAGAAATATTCATATACATGTAATTAAATATTTATATGATTAAACATACATTTTATGCTTCATAGAATATGTTATATATTATTTAAACTACTCTCTACTTTTCTTCCTATATAATATTAAACATCCTATACAATACTAATTTGATAATATTACTTCAATATTTTTATACACAAAATGAGAGGAATCAATTGATGTAAAGAAAACACATAGTTGTTCTTAAGAAAAAATATGTAATCTGCAATTAACAATCCCAGACAACACGGAGACATTTTATAGTAGCTCTTTATGAGTTATATAAATTTTTATAAGTTCCTCAATTTTTCTCAAAACGAGATGCTAAGGTGCTCGGATTGTGATCTTATGTGCCACCTAAACTGTACACTTTGTGAGCTAGTCGTAATGAGTTCTTTAAGAATAGTATTATGAACTTATTCTGAGGATGAGATCGTAGAAAAGTTAGTTGTGTACATTGCAAATTGTAAAAATTTCGGTAATTAAGAAAAGTTGTGCAATTTATAATAGGTTTTTAATGATTTTCTAAATATTCTATAATTATTTTAAATTCAGTTTGTCAGAAATTAAACTAATAAATAGTTATATCAGCAAGAGGTGCGGTTCACACACAATTATGTTGCGTAGCACATGTATGTGGCTCTCCCTGTTTGTATACGTGTAAGCAGTGGCTCTCTTTCTGGCACTACTGCTCATAAAAAGAAAAAAAATATACTTTAAATCTTATGTGTTAATTACTAGTTCTTTATATACATTTGATGATAAATATTGAATACGAATCAAGTTAAGAGTGGCTCGCCGCGTAGCGGCAAGCAAAGAAACACGTGCCACATTTCTGATATCAAAATGATATTTTTTTGACCACTGTATGAATGTTATAACAGGTTCATATATGGGAAATCATAATCAGCTGCTTATTGCTTATGATTTAATGTTCAAGAGATTGAACATTAATATGAACCTGTGATATGATTATGCTTATGATTTAATATTCAAGAGTTTCAAAAAGTAATATTTTTAGATCACATCTTGAATTCATTTAATGCAAATTATAAAGAGGTAAAAATATGATTTATGAAAAGTCTGTCTGGGATTACATTTGTTTTTTTTTTTAAACAAATATGTGGTTTTTACATCAATTGATTCCTTTCATTATTTTATGCATAAAAATATTGAAGTAATATCGAAAAAAGGATATTTTACGAGATATTTTATGGTTTACGTAAAATTAAAAAATTATTTCAAGCCTCATAACTTGAAAAGGTTAGGTTTTTCTTAACAAAAATACTTTATTATAGTTTATACTTTAGTGTTTTGGAAAGCTTTTGAGATAAGTTACAAGAATGCAATGAAAAATAGAAAGTTCCAAAAAAAACAAAAAACAAAGTTAAAGAGTTAAGTTTTAAAAAAACAAAGTTAAACTCCATATGACCTTGGCACGTTCACTCATGGTCAAATCAACAACGGACGTCTCTCTCTGAATCCTAACATTTTACCGAATACATTATTTCATCCGATTTCCTGTGATGTTGATCGAAGTGCAGAATTAAAATAGGACATCTTTCATAGATGTTTGTATTAATTTATACACACATGTACGCGTACATGCGTATATGCGTCCATGCATCCGTGCGTGTGTATGCGTGTGCGTGCGTGCATGTGTATGCGTCTATGTTTAAGCATAATGCTGCAAATTTTCATGTTAATTTTGTTTAGTTTTGTTGCGTGCTATTTTATTTGTTGCGCTGTATACTAATAGCATACTTTTGGCAGAAGCGCTGCTAATTTCGGCTTCACATCTATGGATTATCTTGCGAGTTGACATGTCATAAAACAGGTTAAAAGTTTTCAAAAATCTTTTAAGAAGAAGTAAATAAAATCTATTTGCTATTTATATAAATATCTATTATCTGTCTTGATGCGAAATATTTTTATTATGTTCTTTCAGTTTAGTACGGTAAAATTTTGAAATATAGCTATATGGATGCATTATCATCCTATGTTTAGTCTTCTTATTAGTCCTTAAACATTTGTATTCTATACGAAATCTTATTAATCTCTTAAATATACATATATATGTTATACAAATATCAATTTTTTTAGAGCATCGTTAGAATAATTTGACTTATGTTCCTGTTACAGTCAACATACATAATTTAAATTCTATTTAATTTATTTCATTTTCTCTCGATAATTAACAAAAGTGTGATCACAGCTAATTTCTAATTTTTCTATTTATTTCTATTGATTTCGATAGCTATTTATTTCGTGTTCCTATCTACAACAATATATTATCATTTCAAAATTAACAATATGAATACAAAATATTAATTAAAAAGGTTGCAATCTAATTTTTTATATATTTATATATTTTATATATTTTATATATTTATATATTTATATATTTTATATATTTTTATATAATTATACACAGTTAAATATTATAAGATCGATATAACCAATTTTTTAGTCCTACAAATTTTAATTTATAAAGTTTTTATAAAATTTTTTTATAAAATAATAGAAAATAAAAATGTTTTATCATATTTTCGGTCCAAACTTATAATTTGGAAAATAAAATGAGATTAACATACTACGTAACAATCAAATATTTTTGTCTATTTCATTAATATCTTTATAATAGTTAATAACAATACCTTATTTTATTCAAACTATCAGCAATCTTGATTATTCGAATATAGGTGAAAAGAGAGAAAAGAATCAAATCAATTTATGTAATTATATAATCATTATGCTGCAATTGAGTTTGTATCATTCCTCGTGGGAATGGAAGAATAACACCTTATCATGCAGATCGTCTGTCATTAATCTTACGACACGAGCACCCGATATCTAGTATCAAATTAATAACGTTAGAGTTACGAAAGGTAGTCCCTCACCTATGGCAGTTTTGGTGCGTACAGTGCGCGAGTATCCCATGGGATGCAGTATCGCCCAGTAACGATCGACGGACACCGCCACCAAGCAAAAGATGCTAATGGTGCAAAGAACGATGAGGACCGATACAGTGAACAAGCAGGCATGTAGATTCGTCGGTAGACCGATGCTCGCAAGGATCGCGAACGGGATTGCAAGTAGACCGACAAGCAGATCGGCTGCTGCTAGTGAAATGATATAATAATTGGTACGTCTGCGTAGCTTTCGTTCTTTGCCGAATACAATGATCACCAAGCCGTTGCCGAGAACGGCGCAGATCGCCACTAAAATCTCGCAAACGGTGTATGGTACGTTCAGTTTCGCGTCCACAGACGATGCATTCGTTGGACTAGAATGATTCAAATAATCGAATATCGAATCAGTCACATTCAATGTGAATCCCATCGTAATTATCATATTGGACAAGATAATAGTCTTATTAGGGTCGAGGATATAAACGGACGATTCTTGTCGTTGTATTTCGATTTTGAAGCATGGTATTTTATTATGAGATATAAGTCAACTGATACTGTTATGTTGACTCATAAATATGATATCTATGTCGAAAAAATAACTGTGCCTATTTACACTTTCTTTTATGTATATATTTCTATTTGTTATTTACAAATACACACATATATTATTTTTGTATTCAGATTTATACATTCTATTCTTTGTCGAATATTAAATTAGTTTATTCATTGGAGATCGCTTAAAATCATGGATTATATTACATCAAATACAAGAAAAAGAAGACTAATTGATTTATCACTCGCACATTTGTTCCAAAATTAACGATTCTTCATGTGATTTTTAAGCTTATTCATTAAAAAACATTCCAGTTTGTCTTTATTTTATTATCTCTATAAATATTGTCTATAAATAATATCTTTCGATTTTCGAAGAAATCGAAATATTTTGTATAAAATTTACATATGACTTCTGTACATCACTATATATATGTGATGAATTAATTTCTTCTTGTATTAAATAGTTTATTAAGCCTCATGGCTTTTCAGATATTTTTGATAATTAATATTCTTAAATTTTTTTCAATCGTATAATTTCTTGTGATCTGTTCGCATCAGAAAAGATAGATGAGCGATCGATTAGTCGCTTATTCGTCTCGCGTGATATGCTAACGGACGTCGTGTTTCTCGTCCATTTACTTATAGGAGCAGTAGCAAAATCAAGCGTATGAGCGTGTAAGACGGATTTCCGCGCGATATCATCTAATACAGTTGTATTTTGTGTCACGCGAATTCGTAGTAGACACACCATCATGTCGCTACGAAGCAAGCGAGGAAGTCTTCATATTCATGCTTTGCATCACATTTCTTATCATGATCAAATATCGATTACATATTATTTTTATTATTCATTATCTCCTGATCGATTTTCAAAGAAATAAAAACTTATTACATCAAACAGACGAAAAGAATAATTAAAAAGTATTACCGCAGATGATATCTTGAAATTGTACGTATCAAAAATCTATTATCGACAATCATTAATCGTGAATTTGAGCTTTTTAACATTAATTTGCGTTCTTCTCACATTATTCATGTACATGATCGAAAGAGCGGAAAAAATTGTTGCGTAAAATCCGTCACTTCATGGTAAGAGAATCAATCGATTGATTTGGTTAAATATTAATATAAATTCTACTATATTATGGCCATATTTATGTAATTAGCTAGATATACACTGGATATTTTTCCTCAACACACGAACCGCAAATACTAACACCCAAAGCTAACACGAACTGAAGCAAACACGTCCGCCTTCGCAACCCCGTGGCGTGTGACTGAGGTGTTCCTTGCGTAGTAGAAAACACGATGGCAGTGGAGGTGGAATCTCTAACCTATGTTCTCTTTCTCGTGTTTTTCCTTCCCTCTTCGTTATCAAAACGTCTAGGCTAGGAAAACCTTATTTTACGCGTTACATTCGAACGCGTGGTTGTGTAATATCGCTATACCGCGGACAAATGTGTGGTAAGGTTTATACTTATAATTAGTGGATGTACTTACAATAGATCCGCTTCTTCGAATTTAACATAATTAAATTATGTAACATTTTCTAATCCTATACTTTCATTTTATTTCATTTTATTATGTAAATTGCATTCGATATCAAAAGATGAAATTAAAACAATTGTATGCTAAATAATTGGCCATAAAATCATAGAGAAGGGCGCAATCGGATATTCTTTTATTTAGATAACAAAATTAATTATAGCGTTATATAAAGAAAAACGTGAACTATTGTATATTGATAGCTTCTTGTAATAATCAGCACAATATAGTCTCTGCAGTGGTTACGAAAAAAATATTCTATATCTGACGTAAGTCATTATTTCTGTTTATGACCATGCAATTGTACTTGCATAAAAGCATGAGCGACAAATAACAATAAGAAAAATCAATAAAGCTATTTATAGAACACGAAGTATTAAAAAAAATTGATATCTAATTTTCCAGTTCTTTCTCTCTTTATTGTTTCATAACACATTATTTTATTAGAATTTAACTATAGCTATAATATATTATAAATATTATATTTTAAAATATAACATTTTTTTAATATTATGTAATTATATTTAATTGTAAATGTTAAAAGCGCTTAGATTTGTATTAATTTGTTTTTGTAGATATCACAAGCAATATTTTTCAACAATTAATGATAGAGAGAGAAATGCCTAATGTAAAATATATATAGAATATAATATAGATTATAGAAATATAATATATAATATAGAATATAATATAATAGAATAAAATATATAGAATATGCTATCACATAATCTGAAGCATCATAAAAGTAATTGTAAAAGTAATTTAGCGTAAAAGTAATTGTGTCATTCAATTTTATAGAATCCTTGCGTGCTAAGATTATTTTTATGTAACAGTTAAAGGCGACGTAACGGCCATCAACCGTAATCAGTAGGTATGATCATGTGTGTGTAATGAGCATATATGAGATATCATGAATGATGCCTGAACTGAACATTTGATATCACCCGACATTATCAGATAAGATGAGGAACAGGGGAAATAGGGATAAAATTACTGTCAAAAAGGAATCGGATAAATTAATCTGCACATTTTTCACTTCCTTTTTTTACGGTACGTTTCTCATTTATGTATACTAAATATTTAAACATACGCGCATACATACAGGGTGTTAGAAAAGTCTGGAAACGGTCAAATATCTCGAGAACGAAATGTTTCTGAGAAAAATGTTTCGAACCAAAGTTGTAAGGTTTTAAAAGTTCTATTCAATGATCATATCCGTTTGACCTTGAGTGGAGGGGTTAAGGCGAGGTCAAGGTCAACATGATTTTTTTAAACGAAAACTCCAATTTTTTATTACACATTCTTGTAGCTTATCTCGAGAGCTTTCCAAAGCACTATAATAAAGTGTTTTTTCATTGAGTACTTTTCAAATTATAAGGCTTAAAATAATATCTTAATTTTACATAAACCATAAAATATCTAGTAAAATATTAATTTTTTTATTATCTTATCTTAATTCTTTTATGTACAAAATAATGAGAGGAATCAATTGGTGTAAAGAAAACACATAATTGTTTCGAAAAAAAAATATGTAATTTGCAATTAACAATTACATATTTTTTCTTAAAAACAACTGTGTACTTTCTTTACACCAATTGATTCCTCTCATTATTTTGTACATAAAAGAATTAAGATAAGATAATAAAAAAATTACAACTTTGGTTTGAAACATTTTTCTCAGAAACGTTTCGTTTTTGATCGTTTCCAGACTTTTCTAACACCATATAGATATATAGGGTGTTAGATGTATTTAAAGTATATATCATGTCTTTTCTTCCTCTTCCTCATTGTGGTTACAACGGCTCTTTCTAAACACGAATATCAATTTGAATATTCCATGAATTCTCATATTTCCATATTGCTAACATGTTTTTTAGAAGAATTGTAAAACAACATAGCATCTCAAATATATGTTATATTTTCATTTTTAATACACATTTTATGTAATAAATTTATCTTATATTACATTTATATTTTTTGAAATCATAAAATAAGGTTTAAGAAAGGAAGAATGATAACACTTATATTAATCTTACAAGCAATAAAATGGAATTATAAATATATACATAATTATTACCAATAAGTTACTAGTTAATTTTCCATTCATAAATATAACATCTAATATAATATATGTTATATCGTAGTTAGATATCGTAATGCTTCATATAAAATATTGAGTTATATTGGTAATTAAATAAATAATATAAATTATATATATTTAATTTATAAGATACAGGGTTTAATTTAATTATATAAAACATAATTTAATTATATAGGATTTAATTACATAGACTTAATTTTAATTTTTTATTTAAAATAGATATATTAAGTAGATTATATTTTCTATTTCCGCTCAAATTTCATATAATCTGTTTAATATTCTGAATCCCGTTTCCCAGCAAATACAAAATAACAGTAACGTAACAATATTATAATTTCATCCTGAACAATGTGACTGTTATGTACTAGACTTGTTTTCTTGCAGTTACATTGTTGAATGGAAAATTATAACATTGTTGTTACGTTCTTGTGATTTTGTTTGCTGGGTTGTTGAGATTAGAAATTAAACTATAAGAAAGAAATATACTTTTTAGATCTATGTTTTCCTTAATTTAATCGGTTTTATACTTTATATTCATTTCATGATAAAATATTGAATAAGAGTTAATAATTTAATTAGAAATACACATAGGAATATTATAATATATTGTAATAATATTCTGCTAACATGACTTTTGCAATGTTACAAAATAAGTCGTATAATATATTTTTTATATTATATAAGTAATTTGCGTTATAATTATTTGTTACTTTCACGCTATATTATTACAAACGATGATTACTAAGAAATTATAAAATGCAATATTTATTGAAAAATTACAATATTACAAAGTATGTTATATGTATTATTTATTTCTATACGTTATATATGTAATAGAATAAAAAGTATATGTAGTCAAGCTTTCATATGCTATTATACGTATTGCAAGTAAAAGATTGCTACATATAATTCTGCAAGTTAAAAATTTCAGTAATTATGCATAGGCAACTTTACGAGTGACATTGATCTATATGTTGATCATCCTGATCATCCTAATCTAAAATTATACAGGGATCATGCTTCCTTGAGAAATTATAACATATTTACATGAGATCTTTTCATCCATTCATTCGATTGTTTTTACATCACACTTTACATCAATATCAATTATTCAACATCAAAATATTATAAAGTAAGTGTGTGTGTGTGTGTGTGTGTGAACAGAATAGTGCTCTGCTCTCATCCTTCTGCATCTTCACCTGCAAAAAATTCTAATCTAACTCAAATTTTTTTATTTTAAATTGAAGTGAGTTAGGTTATTTTTGGGATGGAAGTGCAAGGAAAAGAGCAATGCCCCTTTCCCACCTATTCATTTACTTTATAATATTTTGATCTTGAATGATCTTGAAAACATATTACCAGTTAAGGTCCAATTAGGTTAAAAAGTTATATACTATTCATTATACTTTCTTTATTAATAACTTTTTAATAAACAATAGGCTTCGGTTAATATTTTCATAACATTACTTAGGGTGATCTTGATAATATATTTTAAAATTAGTAAAATCGGAGAGTCCCTAAATAATTACTATTTCTACTTACATTTTTCAAATTTTTGTGTTTTATAACTCCTCAAAGAAGCATAACGATGCATAATTTTCGATTAAGGTGACTCAGGATGAACTTAACAATATATAACAAATATATATTAAATATATACAAATATATATACAGATAATAAATATATACTAAATATATATATTAAAATAAAGGTCATTCAGGAAGTTGCCCATTTTATGCATAATTACCAAAGTTTTCTCTATACAGCAACTTATGTGTTCTGAATAAAAAATAATTCTTTTGATTAAAAAATATAAGGTTACTTCTGTTAATCAGAATGTATTCAGGCAAACTCATAATATAATTGCAGCTGTTTAAGATTGAGATTAATTGTTAATAATCAATAATACAATATTATTTGAGGAGCCACTGCACGTGTCTGAAAAAAACAGCGGAAAGCTGTTCAACTTGGACATTCCTATTCGCTGAGGACTTAACGAATGGTGAACAAGCTCATTCGTGATAATTCTTACATATTCATTGTCCCTAACTGGTGTATAACAGAACACTTGGCATTGCATAAAGGATCTCTAATTGTGCTGCAAAGCTAAATGACTTCTCTCTTTCTCTGTTTCTTTCCTTCTCTCCCCCCTTCTCCCTTCTCTCATTCTCCTCTTTTCATATGTATCTACACGCCAGAGTAGCAGCCTTCCGATGAACGCAATCTAAATCGAAAATGGGTCGTGTTCATGTTACATCGGCCATGTAAACACACCCTTGAATATACTACCAAGTATCTAATGGTTTAATACGACTAATGCATCGTACCGGAAGATAGGCTTAAATTCAGTGCTGTGTTTTCGCAGGCTCCACCAGTAAAAGCAACGATGTGAAAAAGTGAAATAAATTTGAAAATCGAGAAATACAGTAATATCTCGCACCAAGATGAATAAATATGACTAGAAAATGAAACAAATAAATTTTTTGCAAAAATAAAGTGATAGTTTAATACGTTTCTTTTCTTTCTTATTAATATTTCTCTTTATTGTCTTTTAATGTTTATATGCGATAATTTTTAGTTTTTTTCGACAACTATTTCAAAATTTAAAAAAGTACA